CCGGTACGGTAACGCAACGGTCGGTACGGTAAAGCAACGGTCGGTACGGTAAAGCAACGGTCGGTACGGTAAAGCAACGACCGGTACGGTAAAGCAACGACCGGTACGGTAAACCGAGTCAAACTCACAGGAAACCGGCTGGGTGGTAATGATCAGTTCCCTTAGTGAGGTCACTCCAGTAACTGTACCTTGCATGTGAATTGATGATTACCACTTTCACCCCTTAACTGCTGTGTCCTGTCATATGACATAATAAAGTGAATCACTTAGGAAGTGATTCTCAATATGATTTTCTCTACTCTAAGCTTTTTACTGCCTATTTATTGAGAAGAAAATACATCAATTGTCAAATTTGTATAAACATTATCACTTAACTGAGAATATAGATTGTGGTCCATTGATAAAAAGTTAATAAATTATTTACTTTATTAACCTGACACATTTACCTTGGTTATTAATTTTTAACACAATAGCACAATCCCTAAAAAAATGTACTTTGTCTTTCTTTCTACTCAGTGAGAACTACATCTTTGGTAAGTTTGATACCTTCTGCAAACGCCTGGAGCGCATAGCTAATATGATGAATACAATAGAGAACCTGTCTGGCCTATCTGACATTAAGATAGAGGGTATAGAATCCATCAGTGTCAGATTTCAAGGGATTGTCCAAACTTATAAAAAGAAGAATTATGATATTCTGGATCACAGGAAGGGAGAGGTAAGTGTACGATGTAGTTAGGCAGTGCTGAGCTACTTAAAAGGTTGTACTTGATTGGCTACCACATCCTAACCCATAACATTCAGACCAATCAGAGATCAGCTTGTTGACAGGATTTTTTACGTGTCAAATTCTATTTTGTCCATATTCTTAGTCTCAACTGTGTGCTTATGTTTTCTGAAAATATTTTTTAATCACTTTATTACAAAAATAAAAGAAATAATTTAGTATGTCGGTGAAAACTGTGTAATTGCGTAGCTGTAATATTTCAGTTAATTTTGGCAAAATGTTGTCATTGCGAATACTTTCAAATAGCATAGCAAATTGGAAATTTATAGCGGGAAAATGTAAATGATATACAGTATACAGTTTTACAATAAAACCAGTGTATTTGTAAGTTGCATAGTAAATAAAATCTATATAAACCAAATCCTGTTAATACTAGAAACATTTTCAAAATCTTTTCCAGTCTGCTTCTCTATAGACTTGGTTCAGTTTAGACAGGTTTTGCTGTTGTAAACAGTTTAATTTCAAATAAATATGATTTTTTGATTTTAATGTATTTGTAAAGACAAATTTTTGCAGTAGGTCACTGACACACAATATTCATTGAAATTAATAAATATTTGTCTCTTCAGAAACTAAAACAAGCTTATGAGTGTATATTAGATTATTTCTAATTACAGGCCATGTTTGTATTTAACTATAAACTATGGAGAACACATCCATAATATTAAATTTCTGAAAAATAAAACTTTTACCAATCCAACTGAGGACAGCTTTACTTTTGTAAAAACATTTTCAGTTGTTGTTAAATTACTGTGTATCCTCAAATTATTTATTCTTGTTTCAACAGTTCGACCAGGATTATATGGAGTTCCGATCACAAATCGACAGTTTGCAGAACCAATTGCAAAACTTCGTAGACTCTTGGTTTGAAAAAACCCTATCAGTAAGTGTACTTCTACAAGATATTACTTTTGTCTATTTTTTTATTTAGAGTGTAAACCAAATCAGTGTTTTGAATTTCATTCTCACAGAGCATTAACACTACGATGTCCTAATAACTTTCTTTGAATGCAATTCATTCTACACACTTATCGGCATGCAATTCAGATTTTGTTTCAAAATTGAAGTTATAGAAACATGTTTAAATTTGTTTTCACCTTAACTTTCCTACTAGACAGAACTTTCATTGATATTTTTATGAGCATGCTGAATTTAGTTTACCATGGGGATTTTATTTTTGCTACTGTAAAATACTTTATTTTGGGTGGAATTAAATTTTGGCAAAAAAGTCTTTTTAGGTATTTTGCGTGGAATTTATTTCACAGATTTTTGATGAGTTGAATGTAAAATATAGAAAAAAAGTGTATTTGCTGGATTTTATTTTTAATGAATCATCCCCTCAGTGAAAATAGTGAAAATAATGTATTTTACAGTATTCTTTTCAACCCCTATCTGGTCGGGTCAATATAAAAGTATATGGGACTGGCTTTATAAGGGGTTAAAAGCAATTTTCCAAGCCTCAGCCAGCCACGAAACTCTCCTAAGAGGCAAAACATTCTTGTCAGGAAAAAATTACTGAAATATTGTTATTGATTACATACATTAAATGTACCCTATATTCTCAATTTACAGACTGAAAAAGCACTGGAACTTCTTAGCAAATTTGAGAAAATCCAAGGATGTAATCTGAACCTGCATGAGAAATACATGAAAGTGCTCAGTAACTATGGACGAGATTTGGAAACAGTACGTAAACTGTACCAGAAATACAAAGAAGACCCGCCAGTGCCCAGAAATATTCCACCAGTAGCTGGCAAGATCACCTGGGCTAGACAGCTGTATAGGAAGATAGATACACCTATGAAGATCTTCAAGAAAAAATCTGAGGTCCTCAGGGTGAGTGGAAGATCTTTGCACTCTTGATAAGGAAGTTCAAGTCAAATTTTGCACGACTTAGTGAGATACTGAGCATATGTGCAAGGCATTGTGGGAGAGAACTTCAAATTTTCTACTACTGAGCATATGTACAAAGCATTGTGGGAGTGAACTCCAAATTTTGCACTACTGAGCATTTTACTGAGCAATATGTACAAAACATTGTTGGGAAGAACTTCAAATTTTACAATACTGAGCATTTTACTGAGCATGTTATGGAAAATATATGGAAAATATTTTCACGCTGGAAACTATTAATTAAACATAATTTTGTTGAGAAATTCTGAATCTAAAAATTTATATCAATAACAATATATGACATAATCTTCAATCCAGTTTGAATCTTCAATCCCGTTTGAATCTTCTTAAGTTTGCACCTCTGCTGAAAATTTATAATTTTATAATTCCTTTTTTGTTCTCCCATACAGACGCAGGAGGCCAAAAAAATTATACGAAATTTCAACAAAATGGCTGCAGTTCTCATGGAGTTTGAGGTGAGTTAGAAAATTATTTCTATTTGAACCAAAAATCTGTGAATATTTTAACAAATTATGGTGTTAAAAACAGTTAAATGCAATTGTTACCATATTTTCTCAGTATGTGCTTGACTATGCTTGAAATAAGTATTATTTTAACTAAACTTCTCTCTCGCATCATATTTTCAGATGCTATATCATAGAGGTTGGTTCCGTGCAGTGGAGACTGCCAAGTCTGGCATGAACTCTTCTCTGTTGGTGAGACACCCAGACACCAAAGATCTCTTCGTCAATTTTGATCCACAAATTTTGGAGCTGATTGCAGAAGCAAAATACCTGCGAAAGATGAATCTTGAAATACCAGAATCGGCATCTGTTATGTGCTATAAGGAAAATGAAATCAAATGCAATCATGTTTCGTAAGTACAGCTGCGATTATTTTTAATATATTAGAAGGAAAATCATTGCATCCAGTTTGATTAATATTTGTTGTGATATTGTCACACCAATTTCCTACATTTAATTGCGTAGTTGTGTAATTAATTTTAAATTTAATTTAAATTAAAACAATTTAGTTCAGGATATTTTTGTTTTTAGCCAAAACAGCCACAAACTGTAAAATACTTTGAAATTCATTCCATTTTTTAGCAGATTTGGCTGGAAATGCACAAATTAACAGAATACTGTTTCAGCTAAAGTGCCAACAATCTAATTATGAGAATATATTTTTAATTTCTTTTCAAATTATTGAGATCTTGAATTAGTGAAATTACAGATTAACTAAATTAACCGTAGATAAAAACAACATGCTAACCAAAAAAATGTTTTACAGTATGCACTATATTTGCTTGGTATCAATATTGGATCATACACAAGTACCACTGCTGATAATGTGTCACTTTAATTTCACTGAGTATATTGTGTATTTAACCGTGCAGTAAAAAAACAAAAACAATTATATAAATAAAAACTGATTAATTTCCTTGACAGATTGGTTGAAGTGCTGAATGAGTATGATCGTATTTTGGGCACTATTCCACCTGTATTGGTTCCGTTAATGAAGCCATACAGAGATAGGGTAGAAGATGCCCTGAACCCCGGACTTTCTGCACTCAATTGGACTTCTCTCAGTATTGAGCAGTGTAAGTATACCCAACACGCCTGTTTATAAGTGGTATGACTCAAGGTAGACCAACCAAAAAAGTCCATTTTCAAGACATCATATTGTGAATTTTGAATTTAGCCAATCAGACCTGAAACCCCGGACTTTCTGCACTCAATTGGACATCTCTCAGTATTGAGCAGTGTAAGTATACCCAACACCCTTGTGTAGAAGTAGAATGACTCAAGTAGAAGTAGACCAATCAAAAAGGTAAATTTTCCAGACATCATATTTTGAATTTTGAATTTAGCCAATCAGACCTGAAACCCCGGACTTTCTGCACTCAATTGGACATCTCTCAGTATTGAGCAGTGTAAGTATACCCAACACCCCTGTGTAGAAGTAGAATGACTCAAGTAGAAGTAGACCAATCAAAAAGGTCAATTTTCCAGACATCATATTGTGAATTTTGAATTTAGCCAATCTGACCTGAATCCCAGTCTTTCTGCACTCAATTGGACATTTCTCAGTATTGAGCAGTGTAAGTATACTCAACACCCCTGTGTAGAAGTAGAATGACTCAAGTAGAAGTAGACCAATCAAAAAGGTCAATTTTCAAGACATCATATTGTGAATTTTGAATTTAGCCAATCAGACCGGGACCTCTGTTTTTCTGCACTCAATTGGATACGTCTCAGAATTGAGTAGTTTAAGTATACCCAACACCCCTGTGTAGAAGTAGAATGACTCAAGTAGAAGTAGACCAATTAAAAGTCAATTTTCAAGACATCATATTGTAAAATTTGAATTTAGCCAATCAGAATCTTTATTTCTTTCTACCCAGACATCAAAAACATTTACAAGGAGATGGGATTCCTGCAGCGATTAATCAAACAAGTGACCGATCTGCTAGATTGTCGCATAGAAGCTGTACTCCTCGATATGTCCACTACACCCTTATGTGACCTACCAGAAATGGAACCGGTCACCACAACCGAGTTCTTGCGTATGACAGAGACAGCCGTCAGTGAGGCTGCTGAACAGCTGGCTAGGTTTGTAATTCAAGATATTTTTTAAATGATGTTTTTATTTACAAAAACCTACATAACACCTAGTCATCTATGGCAGCGGATAGTTTCAAAATTCTTGTATATAACATAAATTTTTATTTTGTAGACAAAGCAAAGCAGTTGAGAGTGCTGTGAACGAACTCGTCGACACCTTAAAGGCGCAACTGAAAGATAGTGACAAAGAGGGACTGCATGGAAGTTACCAATGCGTGCATCCAGATTCCAAACACAAGAAACAACGTTGCTTAGAGTGTCTGGCTTGCAGTTACAACATTATGCTAACTACATTTAGTCAGAGAAATAGTGATGCTCTGATCAAATGTAAGTCTGCACAATGTGGCACCGGTTATATGTATATTCACCCTTCCCATCATCCTTTGCCAATAACAGCTGTGTATACTGTAGGGAGTTCTTAACGTCACAAACGCTGTGAAAATGTAGTTTTTGTATTGAACTCTGTATGTTTACGGTCGTTGTTAGCGGGGGAATGTGGTTGATGTCTTTTGCAATGTTTGCAACACTGCATGCTTATATTTTTCTGAAACAACTCTGTAAACTTGAAGATCACTATATTAATAATTACTAGTAGATTACCTACTCGTGTGATCTGTTTCATTTTCAACTACTTATTTTTATTAATTTGTTATTATTTTATTTCAATACTAATATACTGACTCTGACAATTGCAGTTCACACTGACCAGCGCAAAACATTTCTTTCTTTTTTTGTTTTTATGGAGATGCTTTTACTCTACTTTTTCTTTTTTGCGAGCTTGCAGTGATCTTTTTTTTGACTCCGATCTTTAAATACAGGCACCAGGCTCTCATTAGATGCCATCAAGAGAAGAATGCAATCCTCAAGCAACAAATACATGTCACGTACGCAGGACACAAAACAGGAGGAGTCAAAGGTACCTCTGTTCAAGGCTGACATCGTGTTAGCAATTCCATCTGTAGTGATGAGACCGAGCTTAGAAGATATACAACAGACACTTAATAAATCCATTCAATTGATTTTAAAAATGTCTCAGAATATCTCATTGTGGGAACATACAGTCACTATCCAGAAAGCATTGCAGAAGGTAAGAGATATTGGTTGCTGCTTTCTTTTTGTTTGCATGGTGTTTTTGTTTTTTAAATCGTTTCTTGTTTATACCGACCAACCAATTGCACAGTTAACATACCTGGGTTAATAGATTAAACCAAAGTTTGCCAGTAAGTTGCCTCCGAGTGTAAGCGTAGCTCTCTCCAAGTGCTGTATCAACATTTAGTTAACATTGGCCTCATTTCTAAAATACCTTGTTTCTATTACGTGATTCATTTCTGAATTCATTCATGCTTTCATTTCTCCATTACTTGTATACCTTGCTGTCAGACCTGGCCTATAATCACGATAGAATACTTCAGAACTGCACTAGTTATGATTCAGAAACCTTAAGGAACTTTCTGTAGATACAGTATGCTAATTTGAAATATGTGGACATGCCTCTACTTTGATGTACAGAGTTTGAACCAATCTTGAAATCTGAGCTCTACCAAAATAAATTGGATGATTCTTTTATCAAGCAGCACTTGGAAATAGCCAGCAATCCCTTAATTGAAAATTAACAGCATGCATTTATACAACTCTTGAGCTGTGTGTTGTTGACAATCTTACTACTGCGGAGAAAGAAAAATACAGCACAGGCTAATGTAACAAACTTATAGAAAACTTAACTGAGCTTACTGGGAGCCTGCTTAATTTTGTTGATATTTATTTGTTTTGTTAATGGTTAAATTATCAATTTTCTAGTCACTAACCCGAATTTTAATTTCTCTTTCTGTTATTTGTATATTATGAATCTCTATTTGTCCTGTATATTGAGTAGCCAATGGATAAGGTGTGTACCGTTCTGCTCGAAAGAATGACTTCTGATGTGGATTTAACTTTGTAATAATTCATCATCGTTAATCTCTAATTTTCAAAGAAGAAACTCTTATCAATTGCACTTTTTCTTTCTGTAATTACTAATAATCACGTCTCTTTTTATATCTAGTTGATTACATCAAATTTAATTGTGTATTGATGTGGATGAATTTTTCTAAATTGTGCTAGACCAGATGTATTAAAATTATCATTTCTACTACAGAGTTATTTCGATACTGATTTTCTCCCCCTCTGTTTTGTGTTCAGTCACTAAAAACTGTGAAAATACCTCACAGTGATAGGTGTGCAGATAACGCTGAATTTAAACCAACTATATGTATTGAGGGATTTGCATGGTTCTTGGTTTTACATCAATGTACACAGTCCACTTTAGTTTCAAAATACAATTTCTATATATAAATTTTTTACACTCATTTCAGTTTCTTAAGGTGCTTTTGTTGCTGTGTGTACACATTCCTCAGCTAGGCGCATGCTTTGCCAGCTGGTGTGGGTTTTCATTCACATTTTCGGGGTACTTCACGGCTGCTGTGGTGTCTCACTCACCTGTTTTTATGCATGTCTAACCTTATATTTTTATATCATTCTGTTAATTTATTTGACTTTCCAAGTTTTCCTGTGTCATGTCATGCATTGATTTAACTTAGACAAAATTAAGATTGAATTGTTTTTTCGTTTTAAGGAAATGTACATGTGTGCACAAATTCTGAACAAGTGCCATTATTATACGTATAGGTCTTGTATTATAATTATACTCCCCTTAGATGACATTATAAAAACATGAAAGGCAGGGCTATTTTACACGTAGAGCCAATAAGACTCCCCAAATTTTTTGAAAATTAACTAGTTTTTAAAATCAAATAATAAACAGCAGATGTTAAAAGTACCAAAAGTGAATTAGATTCAGTACTGATATTGGTAGTGATGTAGTATAGCTGAGAACTAATGTGGCTATCCATCATTTCAAAACCAGTTAGCTTTCATTAAAATTCCCTTCACTGTATCTTTTATATTCTAGTATCATAAATAAAGTGTTTTGAAATCTTTTGCTCATACTCGTTTTTTTCAACCAATTTTGTGAATTTCTTGATTCTGGGAACATTGCAAAAAATCAGTGAAGTTTTCACTGGTGTCTGTATTCTGGGAAGTCGCACAGACATTTGCAAAATTACTCTCAAATGAAATACTTGAGTAATGAACATTTTTAGTGGCGAGATTTAATGATTCACATTAGAAGCCCCAAAAGCTAGAAGCCAAAGCTAGCTAGAAGCCAGTTTTAGCTCAATGTACAGTCAGCAGAACATTGATGTAGGGAAAACAAAACATACCGGTAATACAGTATTAATAAAAATAACTTGTGGATAACTTAGATCATAAAATAACACATGATATGTCATTATGACATAGACAAATACTGATTTTACATTTATTTTCATGCCAACTCGAAACCAAATGTCTCATGATCAACCTGAACCTGAATTTGAAAAAACCTGATTGTCTGTATTCATGTATGCTAAGTTTAGTTTAGTTTAGACTTCATTTAATTTAACTTATCCCTTTATTTTCTTATCACATCTTATTGCATTATGACTGTACTGTCCTTGTATTACTGTTCGTTAAGTTAATTAACTATAAAAATTATAAAAAAAAATAACTCACACAGGAAATGGAAGACAACAAAGATGACAAAGACGACAAGGTTACCATCCCGCCAAACTTCCATAAACCACTGCATAAGTTGATAAGCGAGCACAAAGACGTGATAAAGGTGGTGATAGTGCTCAATTCCATTGTCAGCTCCTTCCGCACAGAGTGTCATGAGGTTTTGGAACAATTCACACAGTACTCTGAACTCTGGAATGAGGTAAGATCAACTTTTAATTTCACTAGTCATACAAGAATCAGAACTAAAGCCATGTACAAGAGCCAAAATTATAGTATTCTTGTTCATAGATTCCATTTATTTTGGATAATTTTGGTTAGATCAATAAATATACATAAAAGGAAAGAATAAATTAAAAAATTATTACCATTATGCACTGGGCAATGGTTTCGGGTAACTTGGAAATATTACAGAATCGTAATCTTTTTGTATTTTTAAGAATGTAACCATCTATAGATTTATCTCAACAATAACTCTGTACTGATTAACTCTTTGAACACCAATGATTCCCTTATAATGTGAGCAACTTGTAACTGATATTTCTGTCTTGACAGGACCCTGTGGAAAAAGTAAAACAGTTCATGGATGAAAATCCATTGACATCCGAGATTGAAGCACAAGTAAAATATTACAAGGTAAGATGACTGTTTGTATTAGATTGAACTGGTTTGTAATGATTGAATTAGATTATTGTATTGTACTATCAATTGTACTGGTTTGGTTTGGATTGGATTGCATTGGACTGGACTGGACTGGACTGGACTGGACTGGACTGTATGTTATGGTGCAGTACAAGATGGAATTGGATTGGATTTTACCAGAATGAACTGCATCTTACGGGTTTGTACCTCACTGGACTGGACTCGACTCGACTCGACTCGACGAGACTGGATTTTACTGGTTTGTGCCAGACTTGCCTGGATTGTACTTGTTTTCTACTGGACAGAACTGGATTTTACTGGATTGGATTGTACTTGTTTCAAGACAAGGAAATACTGAAGTTTTGATTTTTTTGATAGCTATGTAATATAAAACATTCACATGAGATACTAAAATTTAATCCTACTTGTCTGGATTTTTCTCTGACAGATTTTGGAAACTTCCATTGAAGAAATTCTGCCCAGCTATAGAGTCGGTTCTATTGTATTCCTAACGGAGAAACTGCAGATGGCTCTGATAACTGAAGCTAGAGCTTGGAAGTTAGCATATGGTAAAGCACTCAACAACAAAGCGAGCAAAGACATGCTAGAGATCTTTGACTTCATTGACAATCTACAAAAGAGGTTGGCTAGACCCATCAAAGACTTGGACGATGTTCGCTCTGCGATGGCAGCGCTACACGAGATCCGTGAAGCTGAGATACGTATAGATATGACAATTGGGCCCATAGAAGAATCATATTCTTTATTGAATAAGTATGAAATGACCTTCCCTGATGGTAATGCCGAGAAAGTGGATGGTTTGACTTATGCTTGGAAAAAACTCACTGTACAGGTAAGAACAGCACAGAGAGAGACACTGTATTTTTCTAAATTACGACACGCAGTAACTTATTGCATTACCATGATACCGTATTACCCCGGGCACGTGCCCCTCCCTGGGAAAGCGCCCACCCCCGTTTTCACAAAAGTTACATGTTGGGGACATCCTCGCTTTATCGCCTAGGGTGATTTTTAGCCAAGAACAGGGTCAACAATAAAGTTTTATTTGTCAAAAACAAACGCGTTTTATTTACTTAGAGTGTGTTTGTTACGGTAGTTCTCTTTTGGGAGTGTGTGGTGGCCCTGAAAAGGGCTGTTTTGTTTGTGATTTTACGTAAAAACTCATTGGAACTTAACGATGTAAGATGAACCACGCAGCATGTGGCGCACACGTTGTGTGTTGATTTGTTTTATTTATTTGATTTTAAACATTGTAATGTTTCTATTTTATTGTAGTCCCAGCAAGTCCAGTCTCACCTGCTCAAGATCCAGCCTGGTATGAAAGCAGATCTTTTGAAGGGAGTGGAGATATTTGTACAAGATGTTAATATCTTTGTCAGTGACTACAATGACAAGTAAGTGTAGTTTTTATTGCCTCACTAAAATTACTGTATGAATATCATCAATTTATCAACCTTTTCGTAATTAATAATTTCTATACTTCAAAATTTATAAAATTTTGTTGTTCTTTTGTTAACCTTTTCACCACCAGACTTTCTCACCCAAATTTGTCTGCATTTTTTTTCTTATATTTATTCTCCAATATTTTTAGTAATGAATCCTAATTTTGGAGCCAACAGACAAAATTTCAGTCAATTTTTAGTTTTTACTCAAAAAATCTGGCTATTATTTTCCCAATCTTCTGAAGGAAAGTGCAGACTATAAACGGCACTATTTTGTGAACTCGTGGTGAAATAGTTAAGTTCAGACCAAATGGACAGACATGTCTCTTTTATGATTTTATCATTAGTATTGTAGGAACAAAATACAAATCTATATTAATAATAGCATGACAATGGATTATTCCCTTTTAACTTTGCATTTTGCTAACTATTTGTATATTATTGTTATTTAGGGGACCCATGGTACAAGGTATCGCACCGCGGGAGGCAAGTGATCGTCTGCAGTTATTCCAGGCTCGTTTCGACGAACTATGGCGTAAATTCCAGACCTATTCCGGGGGTGAGGAGCTGTTCGGTTTGTATGTTACTGAATACCCCGATCTGCAAAAAATCAAAAGAGAACTTACCCTCCTGCAAAAATTGTACAACTTGTACAATGATGTAATTGACAAAGTAAACGGTTACTACGATATCCCATGGGTTGATGTTGACATCGAACAAATTAATCAAGAATTAACAGACTTTCAAAACAGGTTAGTTAACAATTGTTTTCCAGTCAGTAGTCTTGCAAAGTTTAGTCACTTCTGATTGGCTAATCCAAGGTTTGGTATTAAGTCTTGCTAATGTATGATCCTTTTTTGAGCCATATTTGCTGATTGGTTGAGCCATTTATGATCATTCATTCCGAGGTTTGGTACTAAGTCTCGCTATAATCTATAAAACTTTTTATAAGACGTATTTGCTGATTGGTCAGTGAATAATAGTTTATCCACTTATGATTGGCCAATCTGAGGTTAGATTCTGAATCATGCTCAAACACCATGGTACTCTCATCAAACTTTTTATAAGACGTATTTGCTGATTGGTCAGTGAATAATAGTTTAGCCACTTATGATTGGCCAATCTGAGGTTAGATTCTGAATCATCCTCAAGCATCATGGTACTCTCATCATAGATCTTATAAGACACATTTGCTGATTGGTTAATGTTTTAACTGTGAATAACAATTTATTTAAATCGTATTGCAGATGTCGTAAACTCCCCAAAGCACTCAAAGAATGGCAAGCCTTTCTGGATCTTAAGCAGACAATTGATGACTTTAATGAGACTTGTCCCTTACTGGAAATGATGGCAAACAAAGCCATGATGAAACGCCATTGGGACCGAATTACTGGGATCACCGGGCATACATTTGATGTTGAATCTGACACCTTCCTTTTGCGTAATATAATGATGGCACCACTTCTAAAGTATAAGGAAGATATCGAGGCAAGTACTGTTTATTTTCCTTGGTTATATGTTCCTTAATTGTCTGTGATTTCCAAAGCACGCAAATGCAAATTTCATTTCAGTTATATTATCTTACTTCTGTTAATCTGTTGCTGTAACTTGTGCAGATTTTCTTGGCATATGTGTTTGTCACTGTTGAGCTTAGACTTGAAAAATGTGTTTCTATGATTTGTTTTACTGTATTTGCTGCTTTTCTCTTGACTGTCTTTTATTAATGTTTTTTTTTTTTATCTGTTGTGCTTTTGCAATTGAACATCTGCTGTGTTTTCAGTTCAATTAATTTTATAACATTGTAAAATTGCAACAAGCAGGGTCGAAAAAAGCCAGGAAGAATATTTCTACTTAAGCACAAAGATGATATTGAGGTACAACCAAAATAACGATGAATGGCCCCGTTTTGATTCCTCTGCAGCTTTTCCTGCCTTTGCTTGCTTTGCTCTTTCCACTGCATGCATTTTTGGAAGTGGGGAAAACGATTGTTTTATTGTGATTCTGTGTACAACAGTTTGCAGAATACGTTTACATTAAAGCCAGAACTTGTTCTTTAAGCTGTTGTTGTTGTTGTTTTTGTTGTTGTTGTTGTAATTGTATATATATTTATTGATCAGTTTGGTTTTACTCCTTTGTTTTGTGTAAATGTTGGTGCACTCCTTTCACTAAGTTTGTTAATGTTGCATGTTGTCTGTTTCCCCTCTTGTCTTTGGCTGTTGCTTCCCCCCTCCCCTTGCTGTTGGTATACCTGCTGAGATTGGATGATCTTGATTTGAACTTTCACACTTTGGTTGCACATGCCGTTCTTGGTGATTTGTGGAGTAAATTCCATATATAAAATGCCATGTCTCACTGTCAAATTTCCGTCATTGTCGGCATCATGATTGCTTCCATACACCACACATCTCATGGCTTACCATCTTGCTTCACAAGTACCTCATTATAACAGGGCTGCAAAATAGAATGTCATCACATGTGCACCATACCTCACTGAATGTCTGCGGCCATTCTTGCTTCACCACGCCCCACTGCATGGAACAGCTGACGAAATGGCTTCATCTGCTCTTACATTTCACATGTTGTCCTTGTGTCTATACACTTCTGACAGTCCAGTAATGTGATGAATAAAT